CTCTTTCCATACAAAAGTTAAGTGCTGTGAGTGCCAGAGAACTGTTTGTTGCAAGGAAAGGGGGCTTTTGGAACCTGGTGTGGGCTAGAAGCGATAAGAATCACTAAGTGGAGTTCTTAGTGGATTGTGTGTTGTGCCGTCTCTGGGGAAAGCTGTTCTTCATCTCTTGTGGATTTCAAGAGAGGTGTTGTCTTTACTTTATCTCTTTGATTTGTAAACTGTTTGTAACAATTTGTTCTTAGTGACAACGTTAATCCTCTTTTGAGTGATTAGCAACTGGACGTAGGGTCTTTTGATCCGAACCAGTATAAACCTACTGTGTAATCTTCTCTACTCTTCCCTATTTACATTTACACAGTTTTTAATCGGTAAAATTTGGGGAAAATTTTGAAAACCTAATTTTTATTAAGAAACCAATTCACCCCCCCTCTTGGTTTTTGTCCGACCACGCGAACATTCCGCTGCGCGATTCTAACAATTTGTTGTCGCAATAGATAGTAATTGGTCCATCTTGTGGTTCGCTCATTTCTTCAAGTATTCTTCGTAGCCATATTTCTTGACTTGTAGTTTTAGCAGCAACTACGTATTCTAATGTTGATTGTGCCATAGTTGCTTGCTTCTTTGATGCCCATGAGAAAAAACCCAATCCAAGTGAGAAGGCGTATCCTGACGTACTCTTCATGTCGTCTATTGATCCTGCCCAATCACTGTCGGTGTAGCAAATCATCCTTGAGTTGGTCATGGTCTTGTACCATATACCAAACTCCCTTGTGCCTTGCAGCTACCTTAAAATCCTTTTTCCTGCTCCATAGTGAATTTGACTTGAATTTTGCATGAATCTTGATAGAAGACTTGTAGCATACATGATGTTTGAACGTGTAACTGTGAGATATAGAAGGCATCCGATCAAACTCTTGTATCGTGATACATCTACTTCTGGTGCTCCATCATCTTTCTTTAGCTTTTCGTCTACCACCAAAGGGATAGTGACAGGTTTACATCCGTACATCTTGAATCTCTTTAGTAGAGCTTTAGTATATTTCTTCTGAGAGATAAATATTCATTCTTTTTGTTGTATCACCTCTATCCCGAGAAAGTAGTTCATCAAGCCAAGATCAGTCATTTCGAATGTTTTCATCATATCTTCTTTGAATTCTTTCATCATTTCCTTATTGTTTCATGTATAGATGAGATCATCAACATATGAGAAGACAATGAGATTATACTGACCTTGTGTCTTGATATAAAGTGTTGGCTCACGCTTGCTCCTCCTGAAGCTTTGATCGATAAAATATTTATCAGTTTTGTTATACCATGCTCGAGGAGCTTGCTTTAGGCCATATAGAGCTTTTCTTAGTCTTAGTACTTTTCGTTCGTGACCTTTGTTGATGAAGCCTTGTGGTTGCTCCACATAGATCTCTTCTTCAAGTGTTCCATTGAGAAAGGCAGATTTGACATTCAGTTGATGGATGTTCCAACCTTTTTGTGCAGCAAGGGCTATTAAAGCTCTATATGTATCCAAGTGAGCAACTGGAGCAAAAGTCTCATTGTAGTTGATTCCAGGTTGTTGTGAGTATCCTTTTGTGACCAATCTTGCCTTATATTTTTGTATGGTTCCATCAAGATTAGTTTTATATACCCATTTTACTCCAATGATATCTTTTTCGTGAGGACAATCCACAAGCTCCCAAGTATTGTTCGTCTCAATCATTTTGATTTCTTCTTCCATGGCCTTGACCCATACTTCTTGCTTTGAAGCTTCTTCATAGCAAGAAGGCTCAATGATGGCCATGTTACAAGTTTCATATATATCCACCAAAGATCTTACACGTCTTGGTGTAGACTCTGGTAAATTCTTCTTCTTATGGAGGTGTACCTGAATCTCCTGTCTCTACTTCAGGTTGTTGTATTGGAACCAGGATGTTTCTTCTAGCAACTTTTTTTCTTCCCAATTCTAATAAGCATTTTCATCAACCTCAACATCTCGATTGATGACGAGTTTCTTTGTTTGTAGGTTGTAGACTCGATAGCCTTTTGATTGTTGGTTGTATCCCAAGAATATTCCTCTTATAGTTTTGTCTTCAAACTTATGCTTCCTCTAATCAGGAACATGTATGTAGCAAATTGATCCAAATATTCGTAGGTGTTTAGCTTATGGTTTTCTTCCACTCCAAGATTCAATAGGAGTCTTGTTTTGGACTGCCTTAGTTGGGCATCTGTTTAGTATGTAAATTGCAGTGTAGACTACTTCTGCCCAAAAAGTCTTAGGTAGGCTTTTCTCTTTTAGCATTGATCTTGCCATCTCCATAACAATGCGATTTTTTCTCTCTAACATCATTCTATTATGGAGAATATTCGATTGTAAGTTGTCGCTCAATACCTTTATCCTCACAGAATTTATCAAACTTGTGGGAGGTGTACTTTTTTCCTCGATCGCTCCTGAGCACCTTTATCTGTTTTCTGCTTTGCTTTTCAACAAGGGCCTTAAATTTCTTGAATATTCCAAAGACTTCTGATTTTGCTTTGATGAAGTAGACCCAAGTCATTCTAGAAAAATCATCAATGAAGAGAATGAAGTACCTGTTGTTATTAAGAGATGGAGTCCTCATCGGTCCGCGAATATCTATGTGGATTAACTCCAAAAAGTCTTTTGCTCTGCAAGTTTTTCCTGTAGAAAATGGTAATATGTGTTGCTTTCCTAGAAGATATCCTTCACAAGCTTCGCTACTCTCCTTAAGGCTTGGTAGATCTCTCATCATGCCTTTTTGATGTAGTAGCTTTAAGGCATGAGTATTGAAGTGGTCAAATCTACGATGTCATAGTCATGAGTCATCAACTTCTACTTTCATGGCAATGTTAATTTCTCGATTGAAGCTTATAAGAAAACTTCTATTTCTCTTTTCCATTTTTACTTTGTCAATCTCTAGATTTTTCTTATCATAAATAATGCATGTATCTCTTTCAAAGTGGAGAGTATATCCTTTCTCCATCATTTGACCAATACTTAAGAGATTTTCTTTAAGATGGAGAACTAGTAAGACATCATTGATAAGTCTCATACCTTTCGTGGTCTCCACCATAACACTATTTTTTCCTTTTGACTCTACCACGGTGTTATTTCCCAATCGCACTTGAACTTTGATGGAGTTATCAATTTCTTTGAATATGCTTGGATCATTCTCCATATGCTTACTACACCCGTTGTCCAAGTACCATCTTCCTTTTGATTCATTGTCAGAATATCCTGTAGCATAGAAGAGATATTATTCTCTGTCCCGTTCTTCGGCAAAATTTGATTGTTGATGATTTTTTTGCGATACATTTTCTCCACATGTCCAAATTTCTTACAGTATTGACATTGAGGTTTTCCTCAATGCCAACAATCTTTTTCCAAGTGATTTGTCTTTTTGCAAGTGCCACGTGGAGGATATTTTCCTTGAATAGTCTTGGAAAAATTTCTAGAGTTTTCCTTATTCCTAGAAAGTTCTCTATTAATTTTATTTCTTCCATTCTGAGATCGTAATTTTAGTTTTGATCGAAAGACATTTTCAACTAAGTCTTCTTCACGCCTTTTCAATCTTTGTTCATATGCTTCAAGAGAGCCTATTAGTTGTGTCATCGATAATGTAGATAATTTTTTTGTTTGTTCAATTGAAGTTGCAATTGCATCATATTTTTGGGGAATAGAAATTAGAATTTTCTCAACAATTTTCTTATCAAAAATATTTTCCCCATAGGCTCTCATCTAATTAACTATTTCTTTTATTCTAGAATAGTAATCTTTTATGGTCTCAGATTCATTTATTCTTATGAATTCAAATTCTCTTCTTAGTGAATGGAGTTTAATATTGTGTACCTCATCGCTTCCTTGAAACTCCTCCTGTATTGTATTCCAAGCTTCCTTTGCACTTGTGACACCCATTATTCTTGGGAAAATAGTGTCATCAACAACTTGCTGAAGAGTAAATAATGCTCTTGAATCCTTTTGTTTGTTTTCCTTCAGCTCCTTCCTCTGAGCAGCTATAAGAGTGAGATGTCTTCTAGAATAGTGAACACTTCTTCTATGACGTCCCAAAGATCTTGAGAACAAAAAAAATATCCTCATTTTGACTCTCCAAAAATCATAATTTTCTCCCTTGAAAATAGGGACTGGAATGGATGATGTTTGGTTGGTAGTGGGCATAGGTTGAAATTTTTCTTTTGGAAGTAATGTGTAGTGGGATTGAGTTTTTTTAAGGTAGTCGAAAAATTTTCTCTACGCCCAATAGGTGATCAAACGTAGCTCTGATACCAATGTTGGTATTTTAGAAGTGGGTTGGAGTAATAGAAGGAAAACAAAAGTTTTATTTGAATGAAAAGGCTTATGTGGGAATGCTTAATGAAAAATAGTTAAGGATTTTGGCAAGAGAATAAGTAAGGGCTAATAAAAAAGAAGTTTTTGGATTGATGGTGTTTTCCACCATTTATACAAAGACTCCCTTCATGCTTATTTATAGGTTTTACTTATAAAATTCTAGAATTTTCTACTAATTTCATTATTTCTACACTATTCTACTTATACACATTTTTTTTTCTTCTTCTTCTTCTTTTCTTTTTCTAGAATTATGTTGTAGTTTCTATTAGTAACTAGCATACACATATGTTTTTTACATAATTCTAGAAGTTTGTCAATTTTTAACATATTCCAACAAAATAATGACATAAAACCAAACCTCTATACTATCTTCAAAATATAACAAAGAGTTCTTAACTGTGGCTAGGGACAAGTCAACATATATCTACTTTCATGTTTAATTCCTATATAAATCTTTGAGGTTTATTCTATTTCCATCGAAGCAGTGATTTCTACTGTAGAAGCAGTAAATGTAGAAGATAAATTCTGATTCAAGATCTCTCTTTGAAAGTAGAATGCTGGTCTTTGAGGTAAGGAAGCTATTGGACTCTTGTTTGTCAGCATTGATATAATGCTAGTCATTGTGGGTCGTTCATTTGCATAATGTTCAACGCACAAGAGACCAACATGACCTCTGCACTTCATCACCATCTAATAACTCCTCCAATGATGGATCCACTAATTCCAAACACTTTCCATCTTTCCACAATTCCCATACCTGTCAGTATTTTAGTCAAATTAGACACAAAGAATATCATGCCAAAAAACAAACTCAGTGAGGCAAAGCTAACGTACATGTCCAACTAGATTTAATGGGCGTTCATCATCATAAAAACACGTGTTTTTTCTTCCACAAACAATTTCAAGTAACAACACTCCAAAGCTGTACACATCAGACTTTGTAGAAAAAACTCCTTCGGTGGCATATTCCGGCGACATGTAACCGCTGCAAGAAATATTACTTGAAAAAAATGAAGTTTATTAATATACTAATATGAACTAAATGCATCAAAGTGTTAAGCAAACTCACTATGTCCCAACAATCCTGTTAGTGTTTGATACGGACTCTTGTGTAAACATTCTTGCCATTCCAAAATCTGAAATTTTTGGATTCATGTTTTCATCAAGAAGTATGTTACTGGCTTTCAAGTCTCTCTGAATGACTTTGAGTCTTGAGTACTTGTGAAGATACAATAATCCTTGCCCAATTCCTTCTATTATGTTGAAGCGCTTCTTCCAATCTAGTATTTTGCTTCTTGTACAATCTTCCCATGGTCATACAATGATGTGAGTTAGAACGTATTTTTAAAAAGTGTAGAAATCAGAAATAACTTTAACTCATTAATTTCTACATATGAAAACTAAAGTAATGTTAGTAACACATATAGTTAGATAATCACTAACATAGTCCTCACCGAAAAGATAGAAATCCAAGCTTTTGTTCGGCATATACTCGTAAATCAGAATCTTCTCTTCTTCATGAATGCAACAACCAAGTAGTTGAACAAGATTCATGTGCTGAAGTTCAGATATAAGTGTTAGTTCATTTTTAAACTCCACAATTCCTTGTGCAGAACTTTTGGAGAGTCTTTTAATAGCCACCTCCTTTCCTGTTGGCAAAGTTCCCTAAAATGGTAATAAAAAGGTCATGAGTCCTCTAAAATAAAGATATGAACTGTTAGTATTTTAGAAAGGATAGGAAAGATGGTTTGATGTTTAGTAGTGAGATTTGTGTAAAAAATAATTTTTAGAAAAATGTGGACAAATAGGAGAATGTTTATATGAGGGAAGATAGTAATTGATCTTGGAAGTGCTACAAGATATGCAGAAACTTGTATTAGATTTTTTCACACATACAAAGACTCTCTTCATGCCTATTTATATGTTTTACTTACAAGATTCTAGAATTTTCTACTAATTTCATTGTTTCTACACTATTCTATTTCTACACATTTCTTCTTCTTCTTTTCTTTTTCTAAAATCATGTTGTAGCTTTTACTAGTACACATATGTTTTCTACATAATTCTAGAAGTTCTACATAATTCTAGATTTTCTTAACTCTAAAATTATCTATCTTCTACTTTCAAACATTTTTAGAATTTTCTAAGGATTATAGATATTACTCATATGGAATTCCTAATTCTAGTAACATCTAGGATTTTATATTCTAGATCTTTCTAGAATTTGTATCATCTTTCAACACTCTTCCTTGATGCAAATTCCTGTAACTCCAAGCATGAAACGTAATTGTTCAAACTTGGCTCTTGGTAGTGCCTTGGTAAGTATGTCTGCAATTTGATCTTCTGTAGTGCAATACTCAAGTTGAATTTTATTAGTCGCTTCAACCTCTTTGATGAAGTGATATTTAATAGCTCTATGTTTTATTCTTTGATGATAAACCGAATTCTTCGTCATTGTTATTGCTGATTTGTTGTTGCAATAGATAGTAGTTGGTCCATCTTGTGGTTCGTCCATTTCTTCAAGTATTCTTCATAGTCATATTATTTGACTTGTAGTTTCAACAACAATTACGTATTCTACTTCTACTATTGATTGTGCCACAGTTGCTTGCTTCTTTGATGCCCATGAGAAAAAACCCGATCCAAGTGAGAAGGTATATTCTGACGTACTCTTCATGTCGTCTATTGCTCCTGCCCAATCACTGTCGATGTAGTAAATCATCTTTGAGTTGATCATGATCTTGTATCATATATCAAACTCTCTTGTGTCTTGCAGATACCTTAAAATCCTTTTTCCTGCTCCATAGTGAATCTGACTTGGCTTTTGCATGAATCTTGATAGAAGACTTGTAGCATACATAATGTCTGGTCATGTACCTATGAGATATAGAAGGCTTCCGATCAAACTCATGTATCGTGATACATCTACTTCTGGTGCTCCATCATCTTTCTTTAGCTTTTCGTTTACAACCAAAGGGATAGCGACAGGTTTACATCCATACATCTTGAATCTCTTTAGTAGAGCTTCAATATATTTCTTCTGAGAGATAAGTATTCCTTCTTTTTTTTTTTATCACCTTTATCCCGAGGAATTAGTTCATCAAGCCAAGATCAGTCATTTCAAATGTTTTCATCATATATTCTTTGAATTCTTTCATCATTTCCTTATTGTTTCCTATATAGATGAGATCATCAACATATAAGGAGACGATGAGATTATACTGACCTTGTGTCTTGATATAAAGTGTTGGCTCAGTCTTACTCCTCCTGAATCCTTGATCGATAAAATATTTATCAACTTTGCTATACCATGCTCGAGGAGTTTGCTTCAGACCATATAGAGTTTTTCTTAGTCTTAGTATTTTTCATTCGTGACTTTTGTTGATGAAGTCTTGTGGTTGCTCAACATAGATCTCTTCTTCAAGTGCTCCATTGGAAAAGGCGGATTTGATATCCAGTTGATGGATGTTCCAACCTTTTTGTGCAGCAAGGGCTATTGAAGCTCTAATTGTATCCAGGCGAGCAACTGGAACAAAAGTATCATTGAAGTCGATTCCAGGTTATTGAGAGTATCCTTTTGTGACCAATCTTGCCTTATATTTTTATATGGTTCCATTAGGGTTGAGCTTAGTTTTATATACCCATTTTACTCCAATGATATATTTTCTGTGAGGATAGTCCACAAGCTCCCAAGTATTATTCTTCTCAATCATTTTGATTTCTTCTTCCATGGCCTTAATCCATACTTCTTGCTTTGAAGCTTCTTCATAGTAGGAAGGCTCAATGATAGCCATGTTACAAGTTTCATATATATCCACCGAAAATCATACATGTCTTGGTGTAGACTCTAGTGAAGTATATTCTTCTTCTTCTTCTTGTGGAGGTAGAGAAAGTGTACCTGAATCTCTTGTTTCTTCTTCAGGTTGTTATAGTGGAACCAGGATGTTGCTTTTAACAACTTTTTTTTCTTACCAATTCCAAGAAGCATTTTCGTCAACCTCAACATCTTGACTGATGACGAGTTTCTTTGTTTGTAGGTTGTAGACTCGATAGCCTTTTGATTGTTAGTTGTATCCCAAGAATATTCTTCTTATGGTTTTGTCTTCAAGCTTATACCTCCTCTGATCATGAACATGTATGTAGCAAATTGAATCAAATATTCGTAGGTGTTTTAGCTGATGTATATATACATCTATTGAGTATATATACAGCAATGTAGACTGTTTCATCCCAAAACGTATTTGGCAAGTCTTTCTCCTTTAGCATTGATCTTGCCATCCCCATGACAGTGCAATTTTTTTCTCCGAGACACCATTCTGTGGAGAATATGCTTTGATGAAGTAGACCCAAGTCATTCTACAAAAATCATCAATGAAGAGAATGAAGTACCTGTTGTTATTAAGCGATGGAGTCATCATCGGTTCGCAAATATCTGTGTGGATTAACTCCAACAAGTCTTTTGCTCTCCAAATTTTTCCCATAGAAAATGGTAATCTGTGTTGCTTTCCCAGCAGATATCTTTCACAAGCTTCGCTACTCTCCTTAAGGCTTGGCAGATCTCTCATCATGCCTTTTTGATGTAGTAGCTTTAAGGCATGAGTATTGAAGTGGCCAAATGTACGATGTCATAGCCACGAGTCATCAACTTCTACTTTCATGGCAATGTTAGTTCCTCGATTGAAGCTTATAGGAAAACTTCTATTTCTCTTTTCCATTTTTACTTGGGCAAGCTCTAGATTTTTCTTATCATAGATAGTGCATGTATCTCTTTCAAAGTGGAGAGTATATCCTTTCTCCATCATTTGACCAATACTTAAGAGATTTTCTTTAAGATTGGGAACTAGTAAGACATCATTGATAAGTCTCATACCTTTCTTGGTCTCCACCATAACACTGTCTTTTCCTTTTGACTCTACCACGGTGTCATTTCCCAATCGCACTTGAACTTTGATGGAGTTATCAATTTCTTTGAAGATGCTTGGATCATTTGCAATATGGTTACTACACTCGTTGTCCAAGTACCATCTTCCTTTTGATTCATTGTCAGAACATCCCGTAGCATAAAAGAGATGTTGTTCTCTGTCCCGTTCTTCGGCAAAATTTGCTTGTTAATGATTTTTGTTGCGACAAATTTTCCCTACATGTCCAAATTTCTTACAGTATTTATATTGAGGTTTTCCTTGATACCAACAATCTTTTTCCAAGTGACTTGTATTTTTGCAAGTGCCACATGGAGGATATTTTCCTTGAATAGTCTTGGAAAATTTTCTAGAATTTTCCTTATTCCTAGAAAGTTCTCTATTAATTTTATTTCCTCCATTTTGAGACCGTAATTTTAGTTTTGATTGAAAGGCATTTTCGACTAAGTCTTCTTCACGCCTTTTCAATCTTTGTTCATATGCTTCAAAAGTGTCTATTAGTTGTGTCACTGATAATATAGATAAATCTTTTGTTTGTTCAATTACAGTTGCAATTGCATCATATTTTTGGAGAATAGAAATTAGAATTTTCTCAACAAATTTCTTATCCAGAATATTTTCCCCATAGGCTCTCATATGACTAACTATTTTCTTTATTCTAGAATAATAGTCTTTTATGGTCTCAGATTCATTTATTCCTATGAACTCAAATTCTCTTCTTAATAGAGTTTAATATTGTGTACCTCACTCATCGCTTTCTTGAAACTCCTCATGAATTGTATTCTAAGCTTCATTTGCACTTGTGACACCCATTATTCTTAGAAAAGTAGTGTCATCAACTGCTTGCTGAAGAGTGAATAATGCTCTTGAATCCTTCTGTTTGTTTTCCTTCAGCTCCTTCTTCTGGGTAGCTGTAAGAGTTGAGATGTCTTCTGGAATAGTGAACTCTTCTTCTATGACGTCCCAAAGATCTTGAGAACAAAAAAATGTCTTCATTTTGACTCTAAAAAAATCATAATTTTTTCCCTTGAAAATAGGAGCTGGAATGGATGATGTTTGGTTGGTAGTGGTCATAGGTTGAAATTTTCTTTTGAAAGTAATGTGTAGTGAGATTGAGTTTTTTAAGGTAGTCGAAAAGTTTTCTCTACGCCCAGTAGGTGATCGAACGTAACTCTGGTACCACTGTTAGTATTTTAGGAAGGATAGGAATGATGGTTTGTTGTTTAGTAGAGTGAGATTTGTGTAGAAAATAGTTTTTAGAAAGAGGTGGACAAATAGGAGAAGGTTTGTATGAGGAAAGGTAGTAATTGATCTTAGAAGTGCTACAAGATATGCAGGAGTTTATATTAGATTTTTTCACACATACAAAGACTCCCTTCATGCCTGATTATAGACTTTACTTACAAGATTCTAGAATTTTCTACTAATTTTATTGTTTTTACATTATTCTATTTCTACATATTTCTTCTTCTTCTTTTCTTTTTCTAGAATCATGTTGTAGTTTCTACTAGTACACATATGTTTTCTACATAATTCTAGAAGTTTTACATAATTCTAGATTTTCCTTAACTCTAGAATTATCTATCTTCTACTTTCAAACATTTCTAGAATTTTCTAAGGATTCTAGATATTAGTCATATAAAATTTTTAATTCTAGTAACATCTAGGATTTTATATTCTAGATTTTTCTAAAATTTATAACATCTTTCAACATGAACACATAACTTTAGTAGTCTCAATCACCTTATAAACTGGTCCGAAACCTCCGTGTCCTAACTTATTTTCAGATGAAAACCCATTTGTAGCCGTCACAACCAATGTATAATCGAATACTTTTAAATCGTGTCCCTTTCTAAAATCATTTCCAAAATCTTATATTAGATATAACCCATGTTTCAGCCTGCTGCATCTTCATGGCCATTTCTTTTCTTTTCTTCTCTGTTCAATGAGAAATATTAACATATAGAAAGATAATTAAAAGATAGTGTTTGGTAAGGCGTGGAGAACAATGAGTTTGAAGAACAGTAACTACCTTGATGCACATATTTTCGTTTCTTTATGGCTTGGCATAGAATGGATACGCATATTATCAGTACAGTAGTCGCTATTACTGGACTTATCCATATCCACCTTTTTATACCTGCATAAAATCTTCAACTTATCAATTGTTAATGGTATGGTTTTATAATTTTTCAATACTATTGTCATGCGTCGTAGCAAATGATTGCTTGGGTAAAAAATAATATAAATGACAAAAAAATGCATAGACTAAACTAAAAGAATTCAGGTCACAACACATTGTTTTACATGTTTTAGAGTATCACTGATATATTTGAAAATTCTTGTTAGTCTATTGAGAAAAGCACGAGGAAGTTTGCAGTAGACCTACCGCGATGATGCGGTGTTATTTTCCGTGTGTTCTCCAGTATGTAAAAGTCTACACCAGAAACAGTACCGTCAATAGTATTATTATCGGATGAATTCCAATGATAGAATATACATCCAGTTCCATCAGTAAATTCTTTGAATCCATTGCAATAACAATTGCTCCAGCAACTGGCCTCACAATCACTGTGACTAATATTTTCATTTTTGTCATAGGTTACATATTCATAATCGGGGTAAAGCATCTTTTTGGTAAACACATCACCAGGATTCCTGCACTTAGGTATATCCTGCCACCTTTGGCACCCTCCATCGTTGTTATATCCATAACAAAGATCAGCCCTTACAACATAACCTTGATTGTGAGATAACTGCCCAGTATCCGATAGGAACCACCACCGTGTATGATTTTCATTTTTAGATATGAAGGAGAAGGAGTCTTCATCCTCATTAGACACTATGCTGTACTTCAACACGCGTTGTGCATCCTCCGGAATGTTCTCAAATCTATTGTTCCTAAATTTCCCACTTCGCCAACAAACTTTTCCCCGTCTCCTTATGATCATTTCTTGTCCCGTTGGTTCCCATTCAAGACTGAAGACACCTGGAGTCGCATGCATTTGGGTCAACTGTGAAACCAGTAACCAATGATGGCCTGTTTTGTGATTAACGCCTAACTTCATGGTGGGGAGCAAAGTGTCGGTGGGATAATCAAAACTCTGCCACAAGAGAGTTTTTGTCCCATTGGGGTGAAGTTGTTGAAGGACAAAGTTGCCTGTGTCCAACAAAGTTGCCATAGTGTTGTTGATTGGTTGAGGAGGAGAGTAAAGAATAATTGGCTTTTCCAAAAAATGAGATTCTATTTTCAGCACGCCAGAGAAGTTTAGTGATAGAACTGCATCAGTTTGGTCCACAGATTGTTCTCTGTTGCCCTTCCAGACTATGCTATTGTCATATGCACTATATATTGCCATGTAAGTATCAATAGATGCCTCATCCGCTATCGAATAAAAATGTAGAAAATATTTGCCACTCTGAGAATATAGTTGTGGTGAAGAGAAATTCAGTGTATCACCGGGCTTTAAACTGTCATCTGCTGCTTGAACATGAGTAGAAGTACTCCACCACAACCACAACCACATGGAAATAAGAAGTTTCAGTAGGTTAGACCTCATACCTTACTTCAATTATGGAAAGACTAATCTAGAAGAGGTTGTTTAGATTATTTAATTTAAAAAGTTATATTGTTACATTTTTAAAAACTAAAGAATTTAATTAAATCTTAAAGTATTTACGTGAATTTTTTAAATTCGGAGAAATAACTGAAGATTTTATGAATAAAAGTAAAAATTAAACTAAATAAATAAAGAATAAAAGCAAATACATAGTAAAGCCTTCAACTTTAATCAATGGCCGACAAAGCATTTTAGGGTTAAAGGACCAACGTCTTTCATTTCCTTTTCATTTTGAGTCATCACTCTCTTTCTAGTCCTCCATGATTGAAATTTCAAAGATGGTAAACTTAATTTTATATTTATTATAAGTCCATTCCGTTTTTTTTTTTTTTAAATATAAGTTCATCATAAAGGAGGTTTAAATTAGAAAAGGATTAAATATACTTTTTTCTACAATTTTGTAAATGCATAATTTTATTTTTTTTATAAAATTTAATTATAATTTTTTCCCTACAGTTTTTAAATTAAAAAAGTTTAGTTGATTAGCATGTATAATCTAAATGTTAAACTTTATTGTTAAGTAATGTTATGCCAATAAGTAATTGACATTAATTATTTTCTCTTATTATATACATTGGTGATTTTTATCAACATTAGATGATAGAATTGCAAAAAATTACAAAGACTATGATCAAATGTATATAGTTAAACGTTTTAGGAATTGAGCACAATTAAAAGTGGATTTAAGTTTTACAGATTTATACTCAAATCTGCTTCAAAATCATCAATCATAAAACTACGAAAGAAATTAACATGTATTTTTTAATATTCATATCTAATATAAACATATATATTTTATAATTTAATTTTCTAAAAAATAATTAAAATAGAAAAAAAGTATTAACATATATATTGAAATTGATTTAAAAGATTTAGCACTTAAAATTTTGACAAAACTGAAAAGGGTTTTCACATGAAAACTAAAACAAGAAACGTTTGAATTTTGGGTTCTGGCTAATTGTTTTTTTAATACATCTATTGAATTATTAATTTAAAATATTATTATTTTATGAATTATTTAATAAATTAAAAAAATGATTTGAACTTAATTTAACTAATAATTTAATTTTGTAATATTTATTTGTGCATTATTATTTAAAAACTGATGAAGCACCAGATATGATCAATTTTAGAAGTTAACAGACATTGGAATAAATTATATGAAATTTGATTAATTCTAACAAAACATAAATTATAATAGAAATATCTTGTTTTAAGCATTTTATGAAATTACTTGAATATAATGAATATTAAACAGATTACTTAGTTATAATTTCAAATTAGTTTTGGAAACTTATCCTAGGATAAAAAAGTGATTTTATTTCATTTATATATGTAATATATATATATATATATATATATATATATATATATATATATTAGAAATTATCGGTGAGAATTTCATAAGATACTTTTAATGCGATGAAAATTATATAAAATTTAATGTGGTAATAATTTTATAAAATTTAATATTAAAGATATTTTGTAATATTAAATTATTTATATAGTAAATAATATAGTTTTTTTTTAATATTCTAAGAAAATTAAAAAAAAGTTTTGAAATTATAAATTTTATCAAATGATAGAAGAAAGAGTAGTGAAAAGTTGTTATTGCTCCATGTTTCATTATGTAAGATCAGTTGCTTACACCACTGAAAAAGTTGAAACTCGAAAATTCATCCAAAAATTTGACACTCCAATAATTGAATCTTTCCTTAAACAAATGGCAGACAAAAATTTTATTTTTTTCTCTTCCTTTTTTTTCTTTTTCTTTATTCATCAAATTTTTGGTCTATATATACCTTTTATGGTGTGTTAAGAGACTTTTCAAATAAAAAAATTCAAATACCAAAGTTGATATTGATCAACAAATATTCCTTAAGAATGATGTGTTACATGGTTAATGGTTTAAAGTATCTTGACCATCACTAGCACGTGAAAAAGGTTTTTTATGTTCAAAAATTTCATTCAATGAAAGCATATATCCAAATTTCATTCACATCTTTAAGAAATTTCATATGCAATATCACTTTTTAAGGGTAAGTTTGAATATACTTCTACGTTAATATTTCTAAAAAAAACTTTTAATGGGATGTTATAAGAGAATCAAATTGTATAGATGGCCTTAATTGGTGAGTATGCTCATCAACAAGTACAGAACATCATTAATGTTATCTTTGGAAAAGATCTAAAAGTGAGTTAAATAGGTTGATATTTTTATCGATTATAGAGGATTATTGCATGGTGGAACCATGCAGGATCCATTGTTAAAGGTACGTTGCAGAAGATGTTGAATTTTGTTTAGAATACATGTCTTAAGCAGAAGTTGTAAGCGTTCTAAGTCTCATCATGAGTAAGGGTACATGAGAAAGCACTTCAAACAGATTTATATATATGGTCAACAACACCTCTATAAGGTTCAACCTTACTTATTTCATCACAAAAATTTTGTGAAGACAAAAAGAATATCCTCAAATGAATGATAAATGAGTTTCAAACGAGCATAAAAAGACATTCTTAAACTAGTTTAAAGAACATTGTTTTGATACATTGCTTATATTTCTGTGGATGTAGGGATTGCTTTTGTAGAATCCGTATAAAACTCCTTAGAAGATAGATTCTCATCACAGCTTTCCCTTCCACAATAGAATGCTGGTCTTTTTGGTAAGTCAACTGTGACATTCTTGTTTGTTAACATTGATATGATGTCTGAGGTTGTAGGTCGATCATTTGGATACTGCTGTACACATAATATACCAACATGGATACATCTCTCAACTTCATCACCAACATATGAGTCGCTCAGCGATGGATCTAGCAATTGTAGCCACTCATGTTCAATCCATAACTCCCATGCCTGTTAATCAGTATTTTAGTAAAACCACAGTCACATGAAATGTTATTCAGAAAGCTAATTTGATGATGAAACTCTTCTTACGTACATGCCCTATTAGATTTAGTGGACGATCACCATCGTAGAAGCTGGTGTTTCTTCTTCCACTCACAATTTCAAGCAACAAGACTCCAAAGCTATACACATCAGACTTCATAGAGAAAACTCCTTCCATGGCATACTCAGGAGACATGTAACCACTGCAGAAAACAATTTATAATGTAACCTAACAAACCTTATTAATTACGTATTCAACAACCACCCTTTGAACAATTAGAGATTAAGAAGCTCACTATGTTCCAACAATTCTGTTGGTATTTATAGGTTCTTGTTGCGTAAAAATTCTTGCCATCCCAAAGTCTGAAATTTTAGGGTTCATATTCTCATCCAGAAGTATATTACTAGCTTTTAAATCTCTATGAATGACTTTGAGTCTTGAGTACTTGTGAAGATATAGTAACCCTTGAGCAATTCCTTCTATTATCTTGAAACGCTTCTTCCAATCTAGTAACTTGGCTCTGGTACGATCTTTACTTGAAATCACAGTAACAAACGTTAAAGTGTGTATTATACAAATTTATGAGATGTGAAAATCACTGCACGATTTATGAGATGTAAAATCAAAGCCAATTTTGATGTATTTGTTCTCACCGAATAGATAAAAATCCAAGCTTTTGTTTGGCATATATTCATAAATTAAAATCCTCTCGTGTTTATGAATGCAACAACCAAGTAGTTGTACAAGATTCATGTGTTGAAGTTCACTTATCAGTGTCAATTCATTTTTGAATTCCACCATTCCTTGTCCAGACGATTTTGAAAGCCTTTTTATAGCAACCTCTTTCATTGTTGACAGAACTCCCTGAAACAACAACAATTAATATATTACATGCAACTATAATAATTTTATGAAAAAACTTACACAAGTATTATCTAGAGTTTCAGCTTCTTAATATTCATCTTTTTTAAATCTACTTTTATCTCAATCTCACCTTATAAACTGGTCCAAAGCCTCCTTCTCCTAACTTATTTTCAGCTGAAAAATCATTGGTCGCCACAAGAATCGTTGCATAGTTAAATACTTTTAAATCATTTTCCTTCTTCAAATCACCTTCAAGATCTTCAATACCTAAGTTTTTATCTGAAGCAGTTAAATCTGGTATCTCAATCTCTATTTCCTTTTTGCTTTTCCCTGTAAAAAATGTAAAGGATAATCCATTGAAAATAAACAAATTATGTTTAGTAAAGTATATACATTTAACAATGTTTCTAACATATCTAGCTAACCTTGAAACACATATTTTCTTTTCTTCAAGGTCAGACAGAGAATAGTAAGACAGATTATGAGTAAAGCAGTAGCTATAGCTGTACTTATCCATATCCATCTTCTTGTACCTGCATGTATATGGTGTTTATTTATAATTAGTTCCATTAAACATGATAACCTTTATGGCCTATCAGGATGCATGTGTGATTCAAGATAAAGAATCCTGACCTTTTTTCGTTAGTTTATACCCCAAAAAGAAGCTATAAAAAATTTTATGTACAACAGGAAGTGTTGAAATTATATTGCAAACTTACTTTTGTGGCGGGTGCTCATCATCAGCATGTAAAACTTGTAGCCCCCACTAGCAAAATTAATACCTTCCGTTGAATTCCAGTGAAAGAAAAGGCAACCAGTTCCATCTTCATAATATTTTCTGAATCCAACGCAACTGCAATTTTTCCAGCAAATATCCCTGCAATCACCTACACCATAATTCGAATTTGCTATATGGCTTGAGAATTTTGCATTGGGGTAACCTATTTTGATCTCAAATGCATCACCACGAAGCCTGCAAGAGGGTATCTCCTCCCATTTTTTGCACCCTCCATCTGTGTTATAGCCATAGCACATATCAGCTCTTGCAACGTTGTCATCTCCATTCCGATTTATCAGCTGCCCAGTTTCTAATAGCTTCCATATTGTAAACTCTTCATTCGAAGTTGTAATTGTGAAGTAGCTTTCATTCTCGTTTGAGACTATTAGTCTATTAGTTACACGTGTACCTTTTCCATTTGTTAGTATTGTTTTATGCAAGTTTGACTAACTGCATATTTGACTTTTTTCCTTTTTATATTTAACCTTCTTTTCTTCCTCAAACATATTGGATTTTCCTTTTGTATTCGATCAGTATATGAATTAGATCAGTTTTTTCTTCTCTGCTATTTTCTCCCAAATTCTCAATGGGATCCATATTTTTACGTTATGGTATCAGAGCGGGTTAACACCCGCTCTGCCTCCGCTGCATCTTTTCTGTTTCTCTTTTCTATCTTTCTCTGTTTCTTGATGGCTTCTGTCAATTCTTCAACTACTAATAGCAATACAGAAACACAAATTGTGATTGACGAATCTTTGAATCCTTCAAGCCCGTATTATTTGCACCCAGGTGAGAATCCTGGAATGATTCTTGTTTCAAAGCAATTGAATGGTACGAATTACCATTCTTGGAGTAGGAGTATGCGCAGAGCTCTTCTTTCAAAAAACAAATTAAAATTCATCACTGGAGCCATCAAGATTCCCCAAGAAGACGATCCTCTTCATGACTCATGGGAGAGATGCAATGTCATGGTACTCTCTTGGATAACTCGAACTTTAAGTGATCAAATTGCTCAAAGTACTGTATATATTGATAATGCAAGAGATCTTTGGGAAGATCTCAAGGAACGATTCTCAAAAGGAGACCATTTTAGGACTTCTGATCTGCTACAGGAATTGCACTCCATTAAGCAAGGAGAAAGAAGCGTTTCTGAATTCCATACAGATTTCAAAACTCTTTGGGAAGAGTTGGAATCCTTGCGTCCCATTCCTAGTTGTACCTGCAATCTGCAATGTTCTTGTGAAGCCTTCAAAATCATTGCTCGTTATCGTGAATCCGAACATGTAATATGTTTTCTGAAGGGATTAAATGACGTCTTCACCACTGCAAAATCTCAAATTCTTTTAATGGAGCCTCTCCCAGGAATCAATCGTGTTTTTTCGTTAATTCTGCAACAAGAACGACAATTGGCAGGAGTGAGTCACGTTGATGCCAAAACTCTTTTGACAGCTGCTAATCAAGGACCTATTGTGAATTTTAACAATCAAGGAAATTGGAAAACTCAAGGACGTGGATCTTGGAAGAACCAAGGACGTGGACGTGGGAGGAATTCCAACTATGGTAAACAGTGTACTTTTTGCAATAAATTGCACCATACTGTTGATGAATGTTATGCCAAACACGGATTCCCTCCATGGTTTAAAAATAACAGAAATGATTCTGTTGTCAACACTGTTATGACTGACAACGTTTTGAAAGAAGAAGAATAAAAAAATCAAGTGCACATTGTTCAGAATAGTCAGCTGACAGGTGAACAAGTTCAACAACTATTAAAACTTCTGCAAGAAAAGAATCAAGACACTACTCATAGGGTCAATCAGTTTAAAAATAATAATGGTGATCAACAAGACTCCAAAGGTATTCTCTGTTCATCTTGGATTATAGACACTGGGGCTACTGATCATGTAGCTTACAATAAAAATCATTTTTTAACTTTTACTAAAATCAGACCTGTGCATGTGAAATTACCTAATGGTAATCATGTCACTGCTGAATATGCTGGCACGGTTTGTATTTCAAATAGCCTTACACTCTATAATGTTCTTCATATTCCCAATTTTGAATTTAATATAATTTCTGCTCAAAAACTGATTATTGATTCCAATTGTAAATTGATTTTTTCTTCTAACCATTGCCAGATTCAGGATGTTCTTACATTGAAGATGATTGGGCATGCTGATCTGAAAGATGGCTTGTATTGTTTACAGAAACAAGATACTGTTTTTTCTTGGTCTCATATTAATAACATCAGTAATAATAGTTCAATTGTGCCTACTGATGACAACACCAGTATTAATACTCGCAGCAGAAATTATTCCACTTCCAATCTTTGGCACAACAGATTGGGACATCCTTCTAGCAAGATAATTGAAAATATGATTAAAGATTTTCCTTACATTCATAATAGCACTGAAAAAATTTGTGATGTATGTCATTCGGCCAAGCAACATAAACTTCCCTTTAATAACAGTATTCATGTTTCCAGTACAATTTTTGAAATGATTCATATAGATATATGGGGTCCCATTGGTATTTCTTCTATACATGGTCATAGATATTTTCTTACTATTGTTGATGATTTCTCTAGACACACATGGCTTTTTCTTATGAAGAATAAACATGAGACTAGGAGTCTATTGAACAATTTTATTATCCTTGTTAAAAACCAATTTGGCTGTAATATTAAAATTTTCAGAACTGACAATGGGAAAGAGTTTTCTTATCCTGAATTCTATGATAAAAATGGTATTATTCATCAAACTTCTTGTGTAGAGACACCTCAACAAAATGGAAGGGTAGAGAGGAAACATCAACACATAATGAATGTCACACGTAGCTTGTTATTTCAAGCCAATCTTCCAAAATGTTTTTGGTCCTATGCTGTTGTTCATGCTATCTACCTAATCAACAGGCTGCCAAGTAAAACCATAAGGAACCAATCTCCATTCCAAATTCTGCATAATCAACTTCCTATTCTTAATGATTTAAAAGTGTTTGGTTGTCTTTGTTTCACATCTACAATTCATAACAACCGTACGAAGCTAGATCCTAGAGCCAGAAAAAGTGTTTTCCTTGGATATAAACCTGGCACCAAAGGTTATGTGACTCTTGATTTACATTCTAGAGAAATTTCTATATCCAGAAATGTGATATTCTATGAAAATGAATTTCCCTATGTTAAAACTAATATTGTTGATGACACTGATCTTTTCACATTGACTGATTTTCAATTCTTTTTTGATTCTAACAATCTCATGCATAAGAAAGTCAGGTCTAATCATGTGCATCCGTTTTCAAATCCTCAAGATATTTCCTTCCAAGTGACAGAAGAAGATATTTCCAATCGAACACCTAACCAGCCTGCTCCTCGAAGATCTACTAGAATGAGAAAGGCACCATATTATCTGCAGGATTTCCATTGCAATTCCTTAAGTACTGACAGCTCCAACAATTCAGATTCTTATTGCAATCCTCCAAGAGATGACAACACCAACAAATCTAAAAATAGTATCATTTCTTATCCTCTATCTTCTGTTCTCTCTTATAAAAAAATATCTTCAAAACATTTGAAATACATTCTTGCTATTTCTAACAATTTTGAACCTACTACTTATAAACAAGCAGCTTGTTACCCTGAATGGGCTGGGCTCCAATTAACCATCCACCACAACACAGTTTTATTGTTACATCCCCCATCTTCTACCTGCACTTATATCTCTTCTGTTTTACTTCGAATATTATCTAACTTATTATTATTATTAACGACCTAAAATATAATTTATAGGTTAAAAAGTTAGTCATTACGAATTTTATTTTTGATATAATACATCTATTTAAAAGTATTTATTCAATAATAACACGTTTGGGTCAATGATTTGGATAACTGAATTTTTCACTCCACATGTTATTATAATGTTTGGATAAGTTAAACTACAATGGAAATAAAATGGTATGAAAGTGGTTTAGGAAGGATTTATGTGTGAATAAATAAGAGAAAATACAGTAGAACTTTTTTTTATTATGATAATGGAAGGATTTAAATTAATCATCTTCTATTATGTCTTAATTTTTATTTGACTAAGGAATTTTTATTTACAATAATGTTTTTTTGTACTGTTTTTATAAAAAAATTACACCTAATATTCATCGGCACAATACAAACACACCACCAAATGGTCGTCGAATTGTACACATTTAATTTTCATTTTATATAAATTATTTTTAAGAGAGTGAGTTGATGAAGCGTAAAATATATACCAGAAATTGTACTCAAATAATTAGATACAATATTGAATATCGAACTAATAACGTAAAAATATGGATCCCATTGAGAATTTGGGAGAAAATAGCAGAGAGAAAACCGATCTAATTTATATACCTAAGATCTTAATATGCGAAAAGGAAAATCCAATATGTTTGAGGAAGAAAAAGAAAGTTAAATATAAAAGGGAAAAAGTCAAATATGCAAGTTAGTCAAACCCGCATAAAACAATACTAACAAATGGAAAAGGTACACGTGTAACTAATAGACTAATAGCCTCCCCTCAAGCTTGGAGAGTGAATATTAAGAACACCCAGCTTGGAAATATTGTTAAGAAAAGGTGAAGGATCGAGAGCTTTGGTGAAAACATCTCGCAAGTTGATTTGTAGAGGAAATGGGAAGAAGATGGAAGAGGTTGGCCTGCATACACGATCTCTGACCACATGACAATCAATGTCAATGTGTTTGGTGCGTTCATGAAAGCTAGAATGAGTAGCAATGTGACGAGCAGTCTGGCTTATCACAATAGATGACAGCTTGATTGGGCTTGAAGATGTTGAAATCATGAAGCAAGTAATTGAGCCATTGAAGCTCGCAGCTGGTGATAGCAAGAGCCCCGTATTCTCGCTTCGCTGAGGAACGAGAAACAAGTGTGTTGTTTTTTTGATCGCCAAGAAATCAACGAATTACCCAAAAGATACAGAATCCAAGTGGTAGAGCGACGAGTTGTCAAACATGAAGCCCAATCTGAATCACTAAATCCTTTCAATTGAATGTTGGAATTGGAAGAGAAAAACAAACCTTGACCAGGATTAGCTTTCAAATAACGAAGTATACGATCGATGATAGCTTTATGGAAGACAGTGGGCTTTTGATTAAACTGACTTAGAAAATTAACAGCTAAACTTATATCTGGTCGCGTATTTGTAAGATACAAAAGTCGTCCAATAAGGCGGCTGATAAGCATCCGCATCACAAAGATCAGCATTATCATCGAAAAACAATTTGGTGTCCTTGATAATAGG